ATAATCAGTCGAAGGTTTCAGCAAGTGATCCCGATGAGTATTACCCATCCCAATATGACTGTCCTTTTCAACCGAAAGAACAACATGCTCATAAGTAACTTGAAAAGCTGTCGACGATCCCATCGTATGCCAACCTGGAGTCAACTGACCTTAATGAATAAAAATGTTTTGGTGATACCAAATCTGAGAAAGCAAGACCATCAGCTGGGTAAAAGATTTGGGAGGCAGCAACGACAACATACTCTTGAACCAGCTGTCATAAGACGAGTATCCCAATGTCACATAAGAAGGGAAACCAGCCATAGAGAAGATGGGCTGCATAACCGTTAAGTCCCGAAGTGTATGTAAAACAGTTTCCTCCAACCCACCACAAAGTTTACAACCTCTGTCTGATACCCCAGTGAAAAATAAATGTCTACCAACAGGAAACGCTTCTTGACTAGCCCTCCAAGCAAATAATCAACCCGAGGAAAAGTGTTGAGATGAGAAAGAACTAACCAAAGGCAAGAATAATGCACTTAGAGTTGGTAATGATGAGTTAACCATAAGTAACCAGATTTCACCGAGAAAGATCCAGAAGAATGTCCAACCTATATCAAAATATCAGAAGGAATTGTTGTAATCTGACAATTTATAATTTCATTGGCATTCGCATAAGAGAAAATGTTGCGAATTAGTCCCTCATTCCAGTGAGTCTCTCCAGGTATCATAAACTCACCAACTTTGATTGAAATTGTATCACTATCAATATATAAGGCTTGCAACTGAACATGTGTTCCTCCCCAAGCCTCACCATGCATCTTGCCGAAAATAACCATATCAAAATTCCTGCACAACATATCATATGCTACGCCAAACAAAATATGACCGATCACCAAGCGTAGCCTAAAGAATATCCCTTGTTAGAAAGTGTTTTGCAGCAAGAAAATGAGTAACCAATCTTCTAGGATTCTGAAGACACGCCACATTTGCTTACCAAGCATAGCTAAATTGAAAATATAAAGATCTCGAAATCCTAACCCTCATAAGAGTTTGGGTTGGCATATTGCCTCCAAAGAAACTAACGGCCATCCTCGATCTGAAGCATATCTATTCCACCAATATGCTCACAAAACTGATGTAATATCATGGATTATTATACCATCAGGAGTCAATAAGCATCCCATCATATATGTAGGTAACGCTTGTCCCACAGTTTTGATGAAGATACCTCGACCACCATCGATAATGTGTTTTTAGTCCAACCTCGAACACGAGCAAAAACTCAATCACGAAGGAAACCAAAAGCATCATTTCTATTGCGACCAATCACCAGAGGTATGCCTAGATAAGCTTCCGAGTCGTCAACCACTTGAACCCCAAGAATATAACTCAATTTAACATAAGTCGATTTCGAGGTTGAAGGGCTGAAATAAATGTTGGACTTAGCATAATTAACTTTCTGCCCTGAAGTAGCTTAATAAGTGTCCAACACTGCTCGAAGACAAGAGAACTCAGAATGAGCAACCTGAAGAAAAAAACAAACAATCATCCGCATAAAATAAATGACTTATAGAAGGGCCTGACCTACAAATACGAATTCCTCGGAGATTACCAACATGAAGTAACGATGAAGACCCTTGAGCACATACACAAAAAGAAACGGGAATAACTGATCTCCCTGACGTAAACCATGCCGAGGGTGAATCACATCAGTAAGACTTTCATTTATCCAAATTCATAGAAGAAATGCATGTCATAATGAGACTTGTCCAAGATTCATCAAAACCTAAGGAGAATATTGCAACACGTAGAATGTCAAACCAACGTGGTTATATACATTTTCCATGTCAATCTTTAGAGTCGCTTCCTTTGGCGATCCGACTTGCCTGGTCCGAAGGAAGTGGATAAACTCCTTAGCTATAATTACATTATCTGTGATCAATTGCCAAAGACAAACACACCTATGAAAATATTTTCATCAACACAAGAAGCGATCACCGGTCGTAACCGATTAACCAAAACCTTGGAAACAATCTTGTATATTACATTATACAAAGCAATCGGGCAAAACTGAGTGAGACGTTGCAGATCATTAACTTTAGGAGTTAATACCAACACCGTCTGATTGACTTCAGACATCGAAACATGACCATATAATAAATGAAGGCATAAAGATATTACCTCCTCGCCAACAATCGACCAAAATTTTTTATAGAAACATACCGGAAGACCGTCAGGACCCGGGGCTTTGTTTGGATGAATATTAGAGAAAGCGACATAAACATCTTCCTTAGTGTACGCTGCAGTCAGAGAAGCATTCATTTTAGGTGTGATCACCTGATTAACAGTTTGAAAAATGGAATCCGAACTCCTAGTAGTAGTCGAAGTGAACAAATCTCCAAAGAATCAAGTCGCCTCCAAATGAATGCCTTGCAGTTCATCATTCCAAATGTCATTTCCATTCCACAAACCAGTAATAGTATTTTTCTTTCTTCTAACTGAGGAACAGGCATGAAAGAAAGCAATATTCTTGTCACCCTACGATAACCACTGAACACGTGACCTCTGATGCCAGTATTGTTCCATCCGAGACAAACGGAGATGAAGTATCAAGGAGAATATAGAAGTGGTCAGAAGTAAAACAAAATTCACTAGAAACAGCCGCTTGCAAAAATAGAGAACGCCAAGCTGAATTCCATACTTATCGGTCGAGCCTTTCACATATATATGGTGTACAGGAACCTCCTTTATGCCAAGTAAACCAACATCTAGCGGGAAGGAAATCAGAAAGACGATTACGATTAAGAGCATTCCGGAAATCAAGCATATTATCCCGATTACGTCGTCGACCACCCACCTTCCCCGCATCATCAAGTATTTCATTAGAATCTCCCCCGATTTGCAAAGAGTGGCTAAATTGAGATGCCAAACGATGAAGTAATGACCTAGTATCGGCACGATATCGACGGTTACTGCACCCACGAATACCCTTAAATCTGAAAGTTTTGTCAGAAACTAACAATTTAACATCAAAATGCATATCCAAGAAAGATAAAAGTTGAACATTAATAGTAGATTTCCAAAGCAAAATTAAGCCTGTACTAGTAGAACTACTAGCAACAAATAAACACCCCATCATCCCTTATCTCAGTTTCAAAGATTCAATACGAGGCCTTGGAAGTCGTGATCCACCACGAAAAATGAGGTCAGGATCTAAACGAGCTGCCAAGTGCTCCAGAGCATGAACTATACGAGGGTTCCCAAGCACCCCCGACAGTTCCAGCAAAAGAGATTCATAATGACCGACGGGGCTGATGAACAGGCCCCGCCGAAACAACATTGTCATTCTCATTTTCTATCAACGTCTGCTCTGAGTGCACCTCTGTTAGAATGGGTAGCCGACTTCGTTTTGAAAATCAATATCTTTAAATAATAAATTCTGGAAACGCAAACAGAAAGAGGGTAAGGCTGTGTGAACTGTCGGCAGGTATTATATCATGTTAAGTGATGGATTTGAACCAGATGTAAGGTTTGATTTTTAAATTAATGGATTTGGATGAAATTATTTGATACGAGATGCTTTCGTTATTTGCAAGTGATAAATATAAGGCTCACTCGCGGGTAACTTCCCTAAAATTAAAAAATTGAATTTAAAATACTCGAATGTTATATCTTTAATCGCATAAGCTAGTTGACAAATGACAGAAATAAATGCTCATCACACGCAAAAACGAATTAAAAATATTAATATTAAAAGAATACCAAAAAGATGTAAGTATAAAAATTTAATACCTTTTTATATGTAAAAAATGTTTTTTCTTTTAAAAAAATATAATACACGAAAAGACATTAACAAGTGGATACATGTAGGGAGTTAATAGTAATTTCAGGCTTAGGTGTAGCAACGGTCACTTAATTCCAAATCGTCCCAAAAACTAAAGCTGACCTACATGCCTTTTCCCAACTTATTTTCCCCATTGTCGCTATCTGTAGCAGTAGTCATTGTTGTTAATAAATTTCCCATTAATATTCATAATATTTAAAGTTAATGCAAATATATTTTCCTCATTTTCATTTATAATTCATCTATCTTATCTCTTTTTTATATTTATTTACTATAAAACCCCAAGTAAACTGTTGAATATAGGTGAGTATAAGATCAAGTTGAGTTGATTAAAATTTATTTTATTTATATTTATAAATATTATTTTTATTTAACTTTAACTTGAATTTTGTAAGTTGGATTAAGTTAATAAAATATTAATCTAATCAAATCAAATTAAATATATTTATATTTATTTTTATTTTTATTTTTATTTAAATATAATTATTCATAATGTTAAGATAATAATCGATTTTAAGTTAAATATCTCTCTCTAATCAAGGTTGGTATATAAATATATTCTTTTTCACTTATATAAGTATGAATTATTATACCATTTAAAAATTAAAAGTCATTTAAAATTATATAATATATTATTAATTATTTAAAAAAATATTTTTAAAGATAAAATATTAATGAGAGTATGAGAAAAATTGAGGAATAGACTAACAATAAATTTTTTTAGTAGTCACATAATTTTATATTTTGTTCAGTTTAATTCTTCAACCGTAACTCTTTTTAAATTTTCTCTTCTGAAATTAAGTATTGTACATTGATTAAATAAATATTTTTCAACAAAAAAATTAAATCACAAGAATATTTAAATTACTTAGTTAAAGATTAAAATATTTTATTTTTATTTTAAAAACATTTACAAGTTTAAACTTGAAAAAAAATTAAATAAAAATAAATTAACTTAAATAACTTAAAATTTTAAAAATAAATTAAATTAATCACATCAACGTTTTCTTCTTTTTTTCCCCACAAACAAAAGCCGTGGAAAAAAAAGATCTCATATAAATTAAACATTAGAAAAGAAAAGAAAAAGGTTGTAGTTTGTAAATTGCTTTTAATTTTTATTTAATTTATTGAGGAATTGAGATTGACAGATAGATCAACACCCAAATAAAATAAAATAAATAAATTCACCATACATCTATCTTACATAAAACCCTTTGATAATATTCACCTTGCGCTTCTTATACCATTTCCTTCATTTATTTTCTTTCCTTTTTTGGTGCTGTAATTGCTGGGGGAGAGAGTCCTGTGATGGGGGACTCGAGTATGATAGAAGGCTCCGTCGAAGCAGCGACGGTGGCCGGAATCCATGAAGGAAGTGAAGGTGAAGAAGATAAAGGTAGGGTTGATGAAGGTGACCGGAGTTTCGGAGGAAATCGATGGCCGAGGCAAGAGACTTTAGCTTTGTTGAAGATACGTTCCGACATGGATTCCGTTTTCCGAGACTCTACTCTCAAAGGTCCATTGTGGGAAGAGATTTCTAGGTGAGCTACAATTCTTTTTTCTTCAATTGGATGGAGAATTTATGCTATCTGTTCGCATGCAGATCACCCGATTCTGATTTCCAAGCTGAATTTAGGTTTCTCTTTTAAGATAGTATCCATAGCTCATAGAATCATCTGATATATACAAGTATTGATAATTTTCCTCGGAACCCCAGAAAGCATAATTCAGTTCCATGGAATTCAGTGCTTTACAAACTGGGAATTGAATTCTGCATTTAAAACTTAACAGAAAAAAAGCCCAGATGGTGATAATTGTTGTTTATTTTAGCTTTCTTGTCCAAATCAGCCTAATAAATGTCTACACATACTTCCAACATGGGGTGTGAGTTTCCCATGCGAGCTTTTAGCTGCTTAGGTTTTTACTTTCTTGTGGGGTTGTTTTTCTCTTTTATTAATGTCACATATTCTATTCCATTGCCGAATTTGTGAAAATAGTAAACAGAAGTTGTTGTTAACAGGAAACTAGCTGAGCTTGGATATAATCGAAGTGCCAAGAAATGCAAAGAGAAATTCGAGAATGTTTACAAGTACCACAAGAGAACCAAAGATGGCCGAACAAGCAAGGTGGATGGCAAGGCCAAGACTTACCGTTTCTTCGATCAATTACAAGCCTTTCAAAATAATAATATTCAATCACTCCAATCATTTTCACCTTCCAAGCCCACGGTGAATGCACCTCAAACCTGCAACACCACCGTACCATCGGTGGCGGTTCCTGTACATTCTACTAATCCTTGTGTTTTTAACCTCTCGTCGAATATTTTCTCGACTTCGACCTCGTCTTCGACCACGTCCAACGACGATTCGTATCAGGGAAGCGTCGGGAAGAAGAGGAAATGGAAGGAGTTTTTCAAGAGGCTGACTAAGGAGGTGATCGTGAAACAAGAGGAGTTGCAGAACAATTTCTTGCAGGCCGTTGAGAAGTGCGAGAAGCAAAGGACGGCTCGAGAAGAAGCTTGGAGGGTAAGAGAAATGACACGGATCAGTAAAGAACATGAGATTTTAGTCCAGGAAAGATCCGAGGCCGCTGCCAAAGATGCTGCAGTGCTTGCATTCTTGCAAAAGATATCGGCACAGCAAGTACCGAATACGGTGCAAGTGCAATCTCAACCGCAACAAGAGAATCCTCCATCCGAACCACCTCCTCCGACGGCGCCGATATCAACACCATTGCTGCCGCCTCCATTGCAGCAGCCGAAACCACAAGCCTTAAATTTCGATTATGGTGTGAATGATAATAACAATAATGTGGTTCCAGTTTCACTCTCACCAAGTCCTTCACGATGGCCGAAAACTGAAATCAAGGCTCTTATAAAGCTTAGAACCAATCTGGACGTTAAGTATCAAGAAAACGGGCCAAAGGGTCCTCTGTGGGAGGTTATCTCATCCGCCATGAGAAATATGGGTTATAATCGGAGCGCAAAGAGATGCAAAGAGAAATGGGAAAACATCAACAAATACTACAAGAAAGTCAAAGAAAACAACAAGACGAGGCCGGAAGATTCCAAGACGTGCCCATATTTCCACCAGCTGGATGCACTTTACAAAGAGAAGATAGCTAAGCCAGACAGCAGCATGATGGCACCACTAATGGTACGACCGGAACAGCAATGGCCGCCGCAGCAAGAATTTAACCGCCAGGCGGTGGCGGTGGCGGCTGCGTTGATGGAAGAAGAAGCTGACAAGGAAACCCTGGATCAGATTCAAGATGACGAAGACGACGGGGATTCCGAGGATGAATACGAAGGGAATGATTTCGAGTTGGTAGCGAAAACTGCTCGAATAGGCAGTGGCGGCGAGCGAGAGACAACAAAGGAAACTTATAATCAAAGATGACATCAACTGGATGCATCATCACTGACAAAGGTGGTTTTACTATACTACTACTATATTTACTGTGGTAATAAATAAATACATATGATGATTATTAAAACATGATTTTTTTTTATCTGAGAAGTGAAAAATGCAGTTGGTCAGAAGAGGGGAAAGAGTGAGTTTAGTAGATTCAGCAGGAACCGGTGGGGATGACTTGGATTGACAGCACATCCACATGCACATGCACATGAAGTGTAATTTTTAATTTTATATGTAGTGGGGTTTAATTGTTTTCCTTTTTTCTTTTTATAATTTATTATTTGTTAGCTAAATAAATATATTACTTATACGATGGGGTAGGGGAGCTTTACACTGTAAAAAAAAATAAAAGCCGATTGGTTCTTTGTATGATTGTATCCTTCTTTCTTGTCATGGTGGAATAGAATTTTCTTTATAATATTATTAATTTATTTAAAAGGCAAAAGGAAGTAAGTGCTGTATCTTTCTTTCTTGCTGCAAATGCGTAAATGAGAGACATGGCTTTTAGTGATTTGTTTTCGACTGAAAACCAGCAGCGTTGGAAATTAAAATAATCTATGAGGAATGGAAGAACATTTGCCAAAATATGTATTGCTATAAAAGCTACTGATTATTTTCTGTGTTTTGGTAGAGCTTTTTCTTTTGCATGTGTGAGTAATTATTGAGTAGTGTTGCTATTAGCATAATGTAATGGCTTATGGCATCCTTTGATTCAATATCATTCAATAAATTAATAACATTCAATTTGCGTACTTAAATTTGATAAAAATATCTATGTTCTTAATAACATTTGAAATTATAATCGTAATTCAAAAGTTAATTATGAATTTTGTTGAAATAAATCATGTCATTAATCTCTAATTATACTTTATTATAAATTTAATTTATATTTTTAATTTTTTTTACAATATATTTTAATTTTTTAATAATTTTAAATCATACAATTTGATTACATTATGTTTGCATTTACTAATTATAGAGTTAAAAAAAAAAGAGAGAGAAGGGGGCAGCGCTGTAATAACTAGCTTGTTAGGGGTCTAGACACCGAGAGGTAAAAGCATAGTTTATAGCATTTTCTTTTATGAAATAGTTTATAGCATTTGAAAGAGGGACCCTTGTATAGCACGGCTAAACCCTAATCCTAATTTGGGTCCTACAATAGGAATCTTCAATAATAATGAATGACATAATAGCAAGGCGTTTTTACCGAAAAATTATCTTTTTAATTTAATATTCTCAATCAGGCACCGATCAAATTATATTTCTCGATATAACACTCTTTGTAATAAGGCATGCCCCCTGCAGAGCGCTATACGCTGATTTGACGTCACGTGAGATAAGGCGCGGCCCCTGCGGTACGTCTTATGCTGACATGGATACACGTGTGTATGGTGCGGGGCAGGTTGGTAATTAAGGGTATAGCGCGAGGAAGGGGTCGCGCCTTACCTGTGATTCTGACACGCGTCAAAAAGGTGCGGCCCCTGCCCCTCGCTATACCCTTAATTACCAATCTACCCCCGCCCGTTCACACCCATCCCTCCCTATAAATACCCCATTCTCAATCACTTTCATCACACCAAATCCTCTCAACTTCTCTCAAATACTCTTATATTCTCTTATTAATGTATATTTCATTATATTTAGTATTTTTTAGTAATTTATTTAATTATTTTAATTGTTTAATATTTTATTTAATTAAATTTTTTTGCATATATAAAATGGAAGGCGGTCTACTTTGGTTGGATGGAAATTATATATCTCGACACTTTGCTGATACGGTAACATTTTAATGTTTTAATTTAATTAATTAATTAATTTATTTAATGCATGATTATTAGTTTAAAAAGTAATTTGTGTAATTATTTATATTTTAGGAGAGAGACCGTATATTAGATCCTTTTATTAGGAACCTTAAGTTAGTTATACCTACTTGTGTAATGTCGTATTTAGTAGAGGCTGGAGACCCACACATTCCATCTTCCGTGCGGAGAGTACACGATCACGCATGAGGATGTTTCTATGCACCTGGGGCTTCCGGTGAATGGAGGTGTGATATCAGGGATATCTTCTGCTTCTTGGACTACTTTGTGTCGGGTTAGTCTAGGACGTGTCCCGGAAAATTTTAAAGGTGGACGGATACCGTTAAATTGGTTAGATGCCAATTTTCGGGAGTTGAGCGAGGACGCGTCTGACGATGAAGTTAAACAGTATGCACGGGCATGCATACTGCAGCTGATAGGAGGGTTGCTGATGCCGGACAAATCGCGCAACCAAGTTCACTGTATGTGACACTCCACTGATCGCGTGCTCTGGCAATTTGGTTGTTTTCAACCAATTCCGGAAGCACCTCGCAATATGGACGAGTTGCATAGCACAGATAGAAGCGACAAGACAGATACAGATTGGCTGGTGAGGTATCATGCGTGGGTCGTGTTGTGGGAGGATCGACATCGGCGCCTTCCCCGTAGAGAGCCCATTTTACTTGACCTCTTGATGGTTGCTGACGGTTATTACGAGTGGTTCAACAGTAACGGGAAACCGTTTCTACTTCCCGAGGATGCACGAGGGCAGACCTTTATGCGACGTCGACAGAGACGTTCACCGACACATCACCATCGTCCCCCGACTCGTGGACGGAGAGAAGGTGCTTTCGGTTCATCCTCAACTGTACCAGCAGGACCTTCACAGCAGCCACCGTATCCACCGGCTTACATACCGCAGCCATATATGATGTCGCCACCGCCTTTCCATTACCATATGCCGCCACCGCCACCTTCACCTGGTTTTATGTCACCACCGTCGCCGTCACAGAGTTATATGACCCCTCATGGAGGCTATTATGGGTTTATGTTTGTAAATCTGACTTGGGGTTCATATGCTCACATTTTGGTGGGTTTAGCCTTATCACCCATAGTCGCAGCACAGACACCTCCTGTACAGTTTTCACACTCAACGATGTCTGGGTTTTATGAGTTTTCCCAGTTTTCGCAGTTTTCGCAGGCCGGTCGGATAGTCAGTCACACCTCGAGGGTCCTTATTCTATGGAGGTGCTTCATCGTCATCAGCTCCTCATCAACAAAATGTAGCTGCTCAGAACGACGACGATGATGACGACGACGATGATGATGGTGATGATGATGACAACGATGAGTCACAACCAGTGATACGAAGAAATCCTCCTCGAGACCGACAGCCACCGCCCTACAGAACACATTCGCGTCGCAGGCATCGATAGATTTTGTTTTTTTATACTTGTATTTAGTACTTTTTTATTGTAGTTGTTTATTGGACTTTTTTATTGTAATTGTTTTATTAATTATCATTTAATACTTACTTTGTTAATTTATCATTTAATATAAGTTATTGTAATTTGGTTATCATTTATCATTTAATACTTATTGTATCGTTAATATCAATTATTCGTTAATATAACACCAACGTCTAATCTCGTATAATTGTATCATTTTTTTAATCTTCATCAGCAGTTATCGAATAACATTAACTTGAAGTAAATGCAAAGTAAAGTACAAGAATTATTATTTGATAAACAACAGAAGTGGACATGTTTTTCTAATGTGTCCTAGGTTTCTACAATGCCCACATCTTCTGTCTTGTCTAGATCTTTCTCGAATATCCATATCGCAATGAATTCGATTGGATTTTGGACGACCACGCTCCCTCAATAAACTCAGATTTGGTACAATCGGAAGCCAATCTTTAACCTCATCAGGGTATTTGTCATTACCTATGGGGGAAACTCAAATTCGTATACCTTAAAAACTTCATATAGTAGGTATACGGGATCCACAAAACTGTTATAGTCTTGACGTGTATCCGAGCAAGCTGCTATCACATGAGAGCATGGATACTTCAGAGCATGGATACTTCAGAGCTTGAAAAAACCCGCAGTCGCACGTTCTGTCCCTTAGATTTACTCTTAACGACACAACTTCAATCCCTTGAAGAGGTTGCGACAACTATGTGACACAAAACATTTCATGACTTCTAGAGAAGCTTGTTACAGACATTCCATTTGATGCAATAATTTTTTTTCTGTATATCTGCAACTAATCTAGGGTGATAGACATGACCGCCTTGCATCCAGGTTTCAGCTTGTCCCCCGAGCTTCGCAAAAAACACCCCTAAACGAAAATATGTAGTTTTTACCAAAGCCGCTACAGGTAAGTGACGTGCACCCTTTAAGGTTGAATTGATTGCCTCAGCCAAGTTGGTCGTCATGTGTCCATATCGATATCCACAATCATATGCGTTCGTCCACATTTCTTTATCGATGAGGTTGATGTAATCGTATCCTTCCTCGTTCTTCGCCCACAAATCTTGAAGCATTGATTCAAACGTTCGAGGAAGTAGTTCGTAACCTAATCAAAAAATGTATAACTTAATAACTTGATTTCTTTGCAAAATTAAAATGATCAAAAAATGTATAACTTACTAACTTGCTTTCACTTACCCATGCACACAATTAATTGACGTTCATCATTCTTCTTATACCTTCCATGTTAGTTCGCAGTAATGTGTCGGAGACAATACCTATGTTGGACAAAAGGTGATTGCCACATTGGACCCAAAGACTCCATTGCTGCTTTGATCCCAGCCCCGCGATCTGAAATGACACATATTTTCTCCCTCGTGATAACATGTGCACGTGAGTTTCGGAGGAAAAAAGCCCAAGAATATGTATCTTCTCCTTCGACAAGAGCAAAAACAACTGGAAGAATGTTGCGATTGCCATCTTGGACAACTATCAATAATAAAACTTGCTTGTATTTTCTATACAAGAAAGTATCGTCGATTTGGACCATAGGCTTGCAGTATTTGACAGGATTAACACACTGTGGGTAAGTCCAAAAAACTCGGTAGAATTGACATCGATCGCGTAGAACTCGATCATTATGGTATGCATATGAGGTTTCGAAGTCCACAATTATCCCATGATTCAACGTCCGTACCAGCCTAAACCAACCTGGAAGTTCGTTGTAAGATGCATCCCATTCTCCATGAAGTTTGACAATGACATTTTGTTTTGCCAACCAAG